TTTTGTTGGGCTCTTGACACCTCTCTACTGAATTGTAACTATTGTTTCAGTTTTGTTGGGCTCTTGACACCTCTCTACTGAATTGTAACTATTGTTTCAGTTTTGTTGGGCTCCTGACACCTCTCTACTGAATTGTAACTATTGTTTCAGTTTTGTTGGGCTCTTGACACCTCTCTACTGAATTGTAACTATTGTTTCAGTTTTTTTGGGCTCTTGACACTGCTCTACTGAATTGTAACTATTGTTTCAGTTTGATTTGGCTCTGGACACCGCTCTACTGAATTGTAACTATTGTTTCAGTTTTGTTGGGCTCTTGACACCGCTCTAGTGAATTATAACTATTGTTTCAGTTTTGTTGGGCTCTTGACACCGCTCTAGTGAATTGTAACTATTGTTTCAGTTTGATTGGGCTCTTGACACCGCTCTACTGAATTGTAACTATTGTTTCAATTTGGTTGGGCTCTTGACACCGCTCTACTGAATTGTAACTATTGTTTCAGCTTGGTTGGGCTCTTGACACCACTCTACTGAATTGTAACTATTGTTTCAGGCGGTGTCAAGAGCCCAACAAAACTGAAACAATAGTTACAATTCAGTAGAGCGGTGTCAAAACTGAAACAATAGTTACAATTCAGTAGATTGGGCTCTTGACACTGCTCTACTGAATTGTAACTATTGCTATACCTGAACAATATAATACCATGTGCATAGAATTGGCGAAACGGCCAAGTCAGAGACCCCCGTGACTAAAGTATATCCGTTCCTAATTTGAAGTGCGGACCAGAAGGAAGGCATTCATCAGCAGTATCTGTCTCGTGACGCAGCTATCTTAACTATTCAACTGCGGTTGACATCATATGATGTAAGCATTTTGCTCTCAACATTTTGAATGGCCCGCCGCAAAAATTCGTGAATCTTTTCGCATGAGGTGGTAGGCAGATTTACACAAGCCGCAAATGAAGAATTAACGAAATAGCGGGATATGCTGTCACTCACTGCTGAAAGTGCAAAACAACTTTGGTAGCACCACCTATCGGCCATTAACCATATAGTCACGATCGGCCATTAACGGGACATTGGATACACGATTAAGCCCAAGTTAAATTGTGTTTATTAAAGAAATCATCTTTTTCCGAAGGTCCAGCGGTTCACTTTTTGGAGTGTGAATATCCACTTTATTTTTTAGCAACGTAGGATGTTAACGTTGAAATCACACATTTGATTCTTAAAGCTCCTGTTCCATTGTCAGCTATTTAGCGTTTCCTGTTTTAAGAGTGGCAGTTGAAGTATCATTGTCACTCAATACGCCCACGAAAGTGTAAAGCCAAGACGTTAAAATTTAATAACCAGATCCTATTAAAATTTGGCACAGCATTCTGACAATGATCAGTAAAGCAGATAAGCATTTTAAACTCAAAGCAACTTTTAAATTAAAAAAAGAAGCCGAAACTTGTGTCGTATTATGTTTGTTTGTTGTTAGACGCTAAGGTACAAGTTGCGCTATCTGTGCTCTGCCAACCGAGAAATGCGAGTTGTTATAAGCCCTTAGACTTACCGCTGAGACACAGGGAGGGATATGTAATATGTGTACGTCTATAATCAATATACATATATATACACGCGCAAACAAACATATAGAGGAGAAAATCCGAAACTTTTATATGTGCATATTAATAAACTTTAAAAGTTCAAACGGTGTTGGGTGTATATGAGAAAACATTCACACACACACATACAGTAGTACATCGTTGGAAACTCTTTTCTAAAATGAAAATAATAATAATAATTTCTGATAATTTAAAAGATTTATGTTCTACTTTCTGTATAGCTTCCTTTCGAGACATCTGACCTATTACCATGCATTGAGCGTGCAATGCGTTCTTTCAATCTTCTTCCAAGCTATGTCTTTTTTAAAGCAGCAGAAATAAGAAGTGCCTATTTAAAAAAAATCAGACTTCTTTTTCTTCTTCTCTGGAAACAAATGAAGTTCTGTGGAAGTTAATAAAAGAACAATGATGACAACGTTTATTTTTTATTTGTTTGAAAATTGAATGAATCTGGTATATCGGAAAATAACGAAAAAGATATAAGCTAAAAATTGTGTGTTTCGATAGTAGACAAATGCCTTATTAATCACATAACATATCAAATGTGAAGGTGTAGAACAATGAGTGTGTGATTTTTATCTTATCTACAAATACCACAGTTGGACTTTCGAGTGACTGTTTTCCCGTGAAGACTGGGCATGACCTAGTGATCAGCATGCCCAAACTATGAATCCAAGGATTCATGGTTGCATTACGTATGTCGTATATTCTGTGTTTTTTCTCCTCATTATAATCATTTAGGGGAAACAAATGTTGTCTTTTCTTTTTAGGAGTTATGCACAAAGCTAAACAAGATCTATTTATGCATATCCGGCCTTAATTTTGAACTGATTGACTTGAGAAAAGGCGACTAGACAAGAGTACCTATCGTTAACTATTGGGTTAACCTTGTGTGACTGAACAGTCGATTACTGGAGGGTTGACTGTGACTCTTAGTGTACGTTTTTGAAGCAACGATACGAGATTGTACTTAAATAAAATATAGACAATTAAGTGGGACGAGAATTTTAAATCACACACATATAAAAACAATTTATCGATCAACAAAAAGACATAAGAGCTACGTTTGTAAAATTACTTTTGTTGAACTAAGTTTGATTTAACATTTATCATAGACAGTTTATATTTTGCTTTTTGGTAAATTTTCTGTGTAATGTTTTCATTCTTCTTACTTGACAGTCTGTGTGATGTTTCATACTTCTTACTTGACAGTCTGTGTGATGTTTCATACTTCTTACTTGACAGTCTGTGTAATGTTTTCATTCTTCTTACTTGACAGTCTGTGTGATGTTTCATACTTCGTAACTGACAGTCTGTGTAATGTTTTCATACTTCTTACTTGACAGTCTGTGTGTTGTTTTGATACTTCTTACTTGAGAGTCTGTGTGATGTTTCATACTTCTTACTTGACGGTCTGTGTGATGTTTTCATACTTCTTACTTGACAGTCTGTGTAAGGTTTTCATACTTCTTACTTGACAATCTGTGTAAGGTTTTCATACTTCTTACTTGACAGTCTGTGTAAGGTTTTCATACTTCTTACTTGACAGTCTATGTGATGTTTCATACTTCTTACTTGACAGTCTGTGTAATGTTTTCATTCTTCTTACTTGACAGTCTGTGTGATGTTTCATACTTCGTAATTGACAGTCTGTGTGATGTTTTCATACATCTTACTTGACGGTCTGTGTGATGTTTTCATACTTCTTACTTGACAGTCTGTGTGATGTTTCATACTTCTTACTTGACGGTCTGTGTGATGTTTTCATACTTCTTACTTGACAGTCTGTGTAAGGTTTTCATGCTTCTTACTTGACAGTCTGTGTAAGGTTTTCATACTTCTTACTTGACAATCTGTGTAAGGTTTTCATACTTCTTACTTGACAGTCTGTGTAAGGTTTTCATACTTCTTACTTGACAGTCTGTGTGATGTTTCATACTTCTTACTTGACGGTCTGTGTAACGCTTTCATACTTCTTACTTGACAGTCTGTGTGATGTTTCATACTTCTTACTTGACAGTCTGTGTGATGTTTTCATACTTCTTACTTGACAGTCTGTGTAAGGTTTTCTTACTTCTTACTTGACAGTTTAAATTTAATGCAAGTGAACTATTTTATTCACTCCGTTATCACAACATATCGTTTTATTCTGTTTTATGTAGTAGGGCTTTTGTTTGCGTTATCTCTTATCATTGTATTTACCAGAGATTTGATGTTTAAAACATGTATACGACAGATATGCATTGTAGAACTGCATACATCTCATCTGACCAAATGTCATGTGTTTCCTTCAGTCCAGAACGTCTCGGATTTTTTGTACAATCACGCGTTTAGAAAGGAGTGAATAATTTTGCTGTTTACAAGAATTTGTTGTTCAGTATCCAGCTTATCTTATCGAAAAATTGGACCATTACTCCAAGCGGCCTCGAAATTAGATTTTGCTTTAGGAAGTGTATTACGTGGAAAACCACTTACAGAAAGAAGGGTTTCACCTGCTTACCTACTATATGCAGCTAGCAGCTGAAAGTAAAATAGATCTGATAAACGAACTTGTTTCTCGAAAAAAAAATTAATCTGATCTGTTGTCTTTTTTCTTTGATTAAAGTTGTCGACTGCGAATGTTCCATCATTTTAAACACTGTACTTTACATGTTCTTGAACGTGTGAAAATGGATTGCTTTTGCTGATAAGAAGTGATTAGACATGTGAGTTTCTGTGGGAACAAATTCAACAAAGTACTTACGTCAGTTGTCTTTGGCGTGACCTCGTGGTGCTCTGTGTACTCGACTCACAATCTGCTGGTCGCGGGATCGAGACCCGGTATCCACATTTTCAGCATTTCAGTCGTTGAGGCGTTATAATATAACGGTCAATCCTATTATTTGTTGGTAAAGATTAGCCCAAGAGTTGGCGGTGGGTGGTGTTGATCAGCTGCTATAGTCTATCACTTTAAAATTAAATATGACTAACGCAGGTAACCCTCGATAGCTGTAAACGAAATTCAATAAACATACTTTACGCCAGTAGTCGATTTTCCGATAATTTTGAGTATTATAGTAATGTTAATTCAGTTTCTTAGAATTCCATTGTTTGTTATACTGTATAACACTATATACAAAATATTTTGACATTTTTCTAAAAGCTAAGAAATAAATGAATTAAGCAACAAAAAGATTAAGAAACATTTTCTGCCCTCATTTTTGATTTTTTTTTATACTTTATATTTCATATAAATATAGAACTTAAGATGATATTGCAAACACGTTTACTTAAATGAGATGTGACCTGTTGTTCCAAGAAAACTGTTCAGTTCTTGTACTGATGAGTTTATTTATTGATTATATATAATGTTAAAGGTCGCCTGAACCATTTGGATATATATATAGTGGTTGTTTTGTATGGTGTAACAGTCTAAGGCAGGAAATGCTTGGTTTACAGGCACCAAATTCTAACCTTAGTTACTTTTACGTGATAAATGAATCATAAGCTTAAATGCACAAACATTTATTTTAAAAAGTTTCTAGTTAATACAAGTGAGATTCATGATAATGAGGCGGCTGAGGCCATTAATTTCGGAAATTATTTTACGGTTCTCTTTAAAAAAAAACTAATCGTACCCTTAATGCTTGTTATATCGACAAACAAGAAAAGGTTTTTGGTTTTGTTTACGTGATATAGATACTTGTCTGTAGAATTAATGGCATCTAATAGCTTGGCTAGTCACTATTTAATTTCTCTACCACAAGTTATATTAATCGAGAGAAAAAATAATATTTAAATCAAAATAAGCGACTTGGATTAAAAAATACAAAAACAAAACTAGAGAATGTTCCAAGAAGAAGAACCCTGTAAATATCAATTTGCCTGTCTGTCTATTTATCTATATGTGTGCCTCTGTAACTACCTATCGATTTATATACACATACGTGACATTTGTTCTGTTCTAAGGAAATGTGGGAAACATCAGACAACAATTACAAAATACTTACATGAATTCAAGTTTAGTGCATGATTTCGATTTATCTATACGAATGCCACTAACTTACGTGGCATTTGTTCCGTTCTAAGGAAATGAGAAGGCATCAGTTACTATGACCAAATACTTACATGAACTCAGATTTAGTGCATGATTGAGTTATAAGGAAATGAGAAGGCATCAGTTACTATGACCAAATACTTACATGAACTCAGAATTAGCGCATGATTGAGTTATAAGGAAATGAGAAGGAATCAGTTACTATGACCAAATACTTACATGAACTCAGATTTAGTGCATGATTGAGTTATAAGGAAATGAGAAGCCATCAGTTACTATGACCAAATACTTACATGAACTCAGATTTAGCGCATGATTGAGTTATAAGGAAATGAGAAGGAATCAGTTACTATGACCAAATACTTACACGAACTCAGATTTAGTGCATGATTGAGTTATAAGGAAATAGAAGGCATCAGTTACTATGACCAAATACTTACATGAACTCAGAATTAGCGCATGATTGAGTTATAAGGAAATGAGAAGGAATCAGTTACTATGACCAAATACTTACATGAACTCAGATTTAGCGCATGATTGAATTATAAGGAAAAACGTTAGATACAACTTTTCTCATGTTGAGTTTTATTTTGATTTGTTTAACGTAAATTCGACACAACTGTTTGGATAAGTTAGATATAATAGTCGCTTAAGATTTTGGATTAGGATTACCTTCTGAGCAATGGATATGTTGAGCGCTTCATTTCTTCTGTACAGGGAGGGAGAGTCTGGAAAATGGAATAGTGCCGACGATATTGTGACACCGAACAACAAGACGTATCATCAAGTCATCAATCTTAAACCTTTCACTGTGTACTCTTTTCGGGTTTTAGCAGTGAACGATATTGGTGCAAGTAGGCCAAGCAAGCCTTCCTACTACACCGTTACTCTCAGGGAAAGTGAGTATTTATGATTTCAAAATGTACACATAAATGAGAAGGCTTTCATTTTTATTGCTTGGTAGCTTGTAACTTAATTAAGTTTTAAGATAAAAACTCTCGGAAAATCGTTATAACTTAAACAACCTAAGCAGGGGACGCCGATTACATAAATCTCAGCACTAAATTGTAAGAGATAACTAAGGCAATATTCCGATGGCAGTATCTTAGTTAATTGGGTTTTAAACGCCCCTAGCGGATAACATTGAAATTTAGAATTATGTCTTTACAAGCTTTTTATTAAGAAGTAATAAAGCAACAGGGAAAACATGGTGACGCAAAGGATTAGATCAGTAGGGAAGATGCATGAATTATTGACAATTCGAGAAGTTTTGTGTGAAACTCGATAAAACAAACGAATACTGACTCATTATGCTAGATCAGTGCCAAATTATTTCACGATAAAAAAAAGTGAATCTTGTATAATATGAAACAAACATATGTGCCGTATGGTACAATATATAGTTATAGGCCCTATTAATTAATCGCGACAGGCATATGTTGCGAAGCACTGGCGTAGTCGGGTAGGAAATTTGGGCTGGAGTTACGATGAATGGGCCTACAGACCCTCACAGGAACGTTACAGGGACCTAAGAAAAGAAAAGAAAAAGTGACGTATTCGGATGTGGAATCCACTGTGCAGACTCTCATTAGGTGGGCCTGAGTACAGCTACCATAGGCCTACATGTAGCTACGACATTGTTGTGAGAGTTGTAAAAAAATTCGCTTTATATTAAGTGAAGACTATTTAATAGTACATACAATCAGGGGCGTAGGGGCTTGATTTGACCGGCGGGGGGTGGAGAGGGGAAGCAAGTTTTGCCCGAAAATATAAGAGTGTCTCCAAGTTATCAATCGAAATTAGGAGAGTGAAACGATCTTATGGGGCGCAGGCGCTCCGACTCCAAGACCAGCGATCTGTAGGTGTAAGAAAAATGTATTTTCAGGTAACACTTTTTACTGTATTACAATCATTACACTATAATTGTAGTTATACAGTAAATAACGGCAGAATTTCAAAGAATATTAGAAAAATTGATAAAATATCACAATGAACCACATTTAAAAAAAACGATCAATGTCAAACAAACTTCTTATTGGAACGTCCAGGAAGAAGATTTTTTCCCTGTCTTTTCGCCTCCCTAAGATATCAATGATAAGGTTGTGTAAGCACTTTCAATATATATTATCGCAATGTTATTTAGTCGTTCTTGACCCATGCTATTCTGCAAGTCGCCTTAAGCCACTGAATGACCGCTCCGAGAATTGTGGCTAGCATACTTGCCACTTTGTAGAACACTGGCATCATTATAGTATTATACCATATATATGAAATACTATCAAACATAAAAGAAACATTCGTAATATATACCATTATATGAACTGGTAAAATTAAAAAGAGCTGAAAGAGTCAATTCGTGTGATACCAAAATCGACCTTAAAATCATGTACTATAAGGTTTAAAAACGCTTGAAAAAAAATGGTTCCAATGACTTCCAAGCAGAACCATACAGCGCTAAAGGGTTAAAAATGTGCAAGTGAAAATGTCGCGTGTGGGTAATATAGTTTCTGAAAAGGCATAATCAATTTGCAAATATAAAAGTTACAGATATGTACGAAGCTTTTGCTCAAATATTTTGGGTGATTTTTGTCCGAAAAACTATTTGGGTTAGAATTTTGGGGTGGGGCAATTGCCCCTTGACCTCCCCCCCACCTCCTACGCCTGTGCATATAATAACCATATTTATTGATACATTATACAAAATAATCATGCCGTAAGTAATATTTGTTTGTTTAAATATATTAACATAAAGTTATTTTTCCGAAATCATATTTTGATCATTTGGCACGTATACGAATTTTTGTTTGTTACTTCCTGACATTTGTTCTTATGTCGCTAATAATACAAAAACCATAAACTAGATGGTCTTCAAATTGTGACAAAATACAGCTCTTTGAACATGCATAAATTAAATGATGCTCATATACACAACAATCTTTGTAGAAGGAAAAATTGCAGCGAAACATTGAAAAAAGATTTACTGTTTGAACATTAGGACGGGTCAATAAAAATAAATCACATTGACCAGATTAAATTCTCTACAGAATAATATTTAACTTTTCACCAGAAGCACTGAAGTCAGAATAAATGCTTTGATCTGCAAAGCAGTTTATTCCCAAGACCATTAGTCACTAAATTAGATGTTGTTATTTTTTAACACATGAATTCAATACTTTTAGTGCCCTTGTAGCTAGATATGTGCCGCTAAAAAGCACCAATAGAAGAAAAGCGTAGCATTAGAAAACTTTGTAACCCTTAACTTGTGCATTGAATCTGCTTGAAATTTACAATGAAGTATAATACCAGAAAACCAACATATCAAAAATAATGCTTTCGAAATACCACCAGGATATAAATATTACTTTATAACAAGGAATGTGTGTTTTATGAGTCTTTATACATAATCTAATCAAATCTATGAGAATAAAGTTTTTATTTTTCAGATTTGGTACTGCATGGAACAATAGAATAACTTATGTAAATTTTTTAATTAATTTGTCAGTATCAAATGAAACAATGGATATTTTTTGTAAAATACATCATTCACCGTAGTATTTACTTATTTCAGTTAAGAAGTTTGTACTTTTGTTTTGAACATTGGCATGAGGTATATGTTTAACATACATATGTATTATATTGATGCGTGAAATTTCAAATGAATATGATTTTATTTTTTATGTTATGTTTATAGTTATAAAATAGCATTGTATTTGATTGGCGAGAAATGTTTTGATTATATTAAATCTAATTTTATAACATATGTATAACCAAATCGCCTTATGAATTAATGGTTTTAGAGCTTGTACAGCCTTCTTCCTTTTATTAATAACGTTGTGTTTCAGAACCAGAAGGTAAGCCTACTATTACTTCAGCACAGAATAAAAGCAGCTCATCTATTCACCTCCAATGGATACCGCCACCAAAAGAAACAATTCATGGAGAATTTCTTGGCTATCGCATCCTCTACAAACCACGAAATAATGAAAGACTACAAAGAGAAGTCATCCTACGAGAGCCTCATATAAGAGTATTATTCAGATTTTTTTTCTTGAGTAAATATATAGGTTAAGTTCTGTTGTTGAGGTGGAAAGTTATTGCAGGGATATTAGAATAATAATATAATAAATCCCTTGTTTTTATTTTATTCTTGATTCTTGCTTTACCAAGAGCGAAAAATTATTTTAATAAGAAGAAAGTTTTTAATTTCTTAGTTGGCAACAACTTCAACATCGGGTAAAAATATTCAGATTGTTTTAATTAATTTAAAAATACAATAACAGCAACTTCTGAAGCAGGTAAGTTTTGATTTGAATTAATTATTCAGCCCAGTAGATTCCTCACTAATCATTAATTCAGACTGTTTGTGTTTTTTAGCACTTGAACATTTTTGCAATTACTGAAGGAGTTAACTTGACGAATATCACAGTTGTAGAATGATTAAATCGTTTATTTTAATACTCAGTTGTCAAAACTGCATTAAGTAAGACTAACTAGTTTTTTGAATAATTAATTTGTAAGTACTTAATGGACTTGTAGTTTTTGCAAAAGATCTACACGTTTAATTCCAAAAATACATATCATAATAATACTCAAATTGGTTTACAGCATTACACGATAAGAAACTTGGACACTTTCACACAATACTTGATTTCAGTTCAAGTGTTCAACCCAGAAGGACGTGGTCCACCTGTTACAGTAGCTGTAATGACTGATGAAGGAGGTAAGATATGCAAGCTTTTACTTTCGGTGTAATAGTTTTATTAAGAGAAATAAAGATCTGGTAGAAAACAAGCAAGTTTACACATGTTTCCCTTTAAGAATCTAACTAATGGTTCAAAGTGAGCGGTAACTAAGATCAACCATCCAGGATTCGCCTTATTGTCTGTTAGTATAGTTTGTTGTACGGTTTGATTGCTTACTACACTAAATCTGTATGAATGGTAAGTTTAACTTGTTGGCGTGGACAATATTATAAAGATTCACAACTCGAAAAGTTACATAATAACTAATTCAGCACAAGGCAATTGCACATTTTAATAAGTTTTAGTAGCACACTACCTGCTC